AAAAAATATTAATATTATATTACAGTTATTGCTCTTCCACTATACTGAATAATTTTTTTTATTAATGAAATTTTTTTACAAAATCAAAAATAATGCAGAGATTTAAGTGTTCTTATTTAAACGATATTTATTCTATATTATTAAATTATTAAATTATATAATTTAAAAATTAAAATAATAATATAAAAATATACAATTTTCTTATTTTTTTATTCTTTAGCAAGTAGATTGTTCTCTCGATAGTCCAACACCAGGAGGTCCTGTAGGATCTGAAACTATGAGTCCCAGCAAAGAAAGTATAAAAGTTCGAACGCAAAGACCAGGATCTCGTCTTCAAGAATTAGAACAAGAATTAGCAAAAATTCATCATAGAGGCACAATTTTATCAACAGCTTCTCCACAACCTTTAACACCACCTGTTTCTGTTGTTGGTTCTATTCAGATGCAACCATCATTACAACATACTCAAACTTTATTAACTACCGTTCCACCTATAACTGCTGTGCCTGTTGCTAATGTTATTCCTAATGTTATTACATCACGCTCCGATACAAATACTCCAATACAAATAGAATCTCAAGAAAATGTTACTGAGGTACTATATAATATATTTATATACAGTAAATTTTAATGTATATAATGAATATTATTAAAAAATAATTATCTAATTTTATAATAGAAAATTAATACTACACAACCAGTTAGAAAAATATCAAGATTCGTAGTTTCCAAAGTCGCAGGTCCTCCTAGTAATATTGCTACATCAACTCAACAACATATTGATATATCAAAAAATCAAGTAGAAGATTCAAAGATTTATCATGTAGATGATGCACAGGGTAAGAAATTATAAAATCAATTGTTGAAGAATTAAATACATTTAAAAATATTTAAAGATTAAATGTTTACAAATTACAGGAACATCAGTACAAATAATTCATAGTCGTGAGAATTCTCTTCCTCCTACGCAAGTTACTCAACCTATTAATGCTCCTGTTATAGAAGTAAATATAAATGTTTTAATAAAAGTTATATTTTTTCAATTTCTTGAAATATTTGTATTATTAACCAAACATTATTGTTTATTGTTTATAGCAATCGGAAAAAGATGAACGATTTTGGACATTAACACCAAGTGAAGAATATCAATTACTAATAAAAAAGTAGGTTTATTTTTACAAAATTTAATATTATAATTTTATGATAATTAAAAATTTTAATTTTATTTTTATACAGACAAACTATGGAATTAGAAACATTACAAAAAAGACATAGAGAAGAATTAGAACGATTTCAGCAACATCAATTGCAACTATTAATTCAACAACAACAACAAGCAAGTGCACTTCATCAGCATCATCATCAACATCATCCAGTGCTTTATCATACCGTTGCTACTAATGTGGCAGGTTAGTAATTAGTTTTTATTTGAAATATTTGATATATTTCATTTTAATTATTATATTTTTTTCATAATCACATAACATTTTTTCCTAACAGGACAAAGTAGACTTTCAGGTACAGAAGAATATTTAATGTTTAATACAAATCCTCAAACTCCTTTACAAAAAGCTCCAAATAATTATCCAGATACTGATGAAACATTACGATTAGCTATGCAAAAATTGAAGCAAACTCCTTTACAACTACAACCACAGCAGGCGGCAACTGGAATACCACATGCTTATGTTATTCCAATTCCAGTAGTGCCTTCTGAAACTATTCAAAACGTGTCTACTCAGCAATCTAGTAGTTATACAAGTGAAATTGCAGAATCTCTTGACTCAGCACATAATCCGGCAATTATAAATTCAGCGCAATATCAATTCACACCTATATTACCGGATGGAACAAATATCGCTGTATCTTCTACTGGATCGTTAGTTACACCTATACCAATATCAAGTTCAACAGGAAGCGGAAATTATATCCAATATCATGAAAATCAAACATTACCAAATTTTCAAACATTCAGTTGTACATCACATGGTGGTTTCTTTTTACCAGCTGGCTATCGCCTAATATATGCTCCTCCAGGTGGAACATCTCAATCTCAGCCAGCTACTCCGGCTACTCCACATATAGGGAATTCCCATGATGGTACACCACCAACAGAATCTTTGCATACTGCAAATGTTGACAATTCAACAGCTCCTCCTTCCCATATTGATCAATAACCTAATCTTCAGCAAATTATGGTCATTTTTCGATTTATTCATTTCCGTAATACATTCTTTATTTAAACGTGTTGCTCTTTATCTACTAGTACGAAATTATGCATTATTATGATTGTTATTTTATTATAGTTTTGCTAATACATACTACTATCCTTGTTCTCGTGGATATATATGCAGGGAGATGCGAATGAAAGTATTTAGGATGTATTCGTTATTGTAACATCCATTTGTAATTTAAAATATTCTCGATGTCTTTGCGTGAGCATGATATTAATTATTTGATATATGCTTAGCAGCAAATATTAAAACACTTAATTCATACATGAAGAATATTTTGAATGAACGAAAATTCTGGACAAAAAAAAAAGAAAAAGAAATAAAATATTGAAATTGAGGATAGAGGCCTTTACATGTACTGTGCTTATTCTTTATTGTAGTAAATATTCTTCTTTAGTAAAAATGCTTATTAAAAGACCTTTTCCGCTCTCAATTCATTAGCACAGTCCACATTAGTACAGGCCTCAGCTAGTCTTACAAATAATGGCATAGAGCCATTCTGCTCGATATATATGTATAATTGTTAATGTATACTGAATGCTTTGAAGAGAGAATGTATGTCGTGTGTGCATGTATGAGAGTACAGGAATTAAACAGAGAAGAAATTGATTAATATAGTCACTGTTATGCTTTAATGTATTTCTAGCGATTTTACCTACTTCAATTAAAAAAAAAAGTCATGTGTTACTAGTTAGCAGTTTCATATATCTTATCTAATATTATATCAACTATTATCTTTTAGATTCAATTGTCAATATTTTTATTACAGTATATTTAATTTATCAGTTTATTTTACTTATTGGCATTTCATTTATAGTATGTTTTGTACAATCCATTCCTTTATATATTTTAGAAATTTGATTAATTTAGTACTTTAATTTCGGTAATCAAATCATATCTTTAAAAAAAATAATGATAATCATCACAAATATTGAGAATCTAATTTAAAAAAGAAAGCTCAATAGAAACATGACTTAGGTATGAAATTCATACATACATATTTTAATAATATATAAAAAATAATTTAATATTTGCATTATATCCCAAGAAATATATTTTAAATTTTTATCTGTGCTATCACATATTGCATTTTGCAATATAGTTAAGAATAGCTTATTTGTATAATTACAAATATTATTATTGTTTATTAATGATTATAATGTTATTTTTACTTCGTTCTAATAATTGCAGTTTGTATCGCTTTTAATGTTGCGATTTACTACTGCTTTGAGCATGAATTTATTATTATCAGTATTAAAATTTTGAAAACTATTTTGAAATTAAACATGAAATTTTTTTTGTAATCTTCAATTTATTGCTTAATCATGATATATATAATTTCACTCAATTGTTTTATACTTGTTTTATTTTTATGTTTTATATTATAATTTTATTAATCTATTCTTCAAAAAAAGAATTATTATTCAATCTGTAAATTCAGTTAATCCACCTAGTAATAAATTCATGTAATTGTTGAACGAAACATTATAATATAGATAATTGTATGTATTTCTTATGGAAATATATTGCAATTATTTTTATATAGTTACTTTTAAATAAATTTATTAGATAATACTCAAAAAAAAAAAATGCATAACATGTAATACTAAATGTACATATTATTCATTTACTGATAGGTGGATTGGCTTTCAATATAGCTCCTATATTTAATAAAAACTCAGTATAAAATTTCGAAAATAAATTATGTTTAAATATAATAATTTACAGTGATATAGTTTGGTAAAAATTAATTTCTAATTTTTCAAATTTATTCATTGAATGAGAATTTCATTGAAATGAATAAAATAAGACAATAGAAATGAATATTATTTCATTAATAGCATTAAAATAGATCTCTTTTTTGCAAATATATTATATACAATGTGATTTTAATTATATATAATTATTATAATGATTATATAATTGGAGTGAATTTTTGTAAAACATTTTTATTGTTTTACCAAAGAATACCAAACAGCACTGTTACATGTGAAAAAATCAATAATATGAATTCATCATAATTCTTTTCTACCAATATGGCATCTAACTTGATGGAATTGAACTTAGTACATTCAGACTTAGGTATTACTATATATTTTTCAGAAAATATGACGAAAAGAACAAGTATATCATATTTTGCTACATTTACAAAAATCATACATAAAATTAGTACATACACAAAAATTAGTACATATTGATGGATCAGAATTTAATGAACTAATTTATTAAAATTATTTAATTTATTTAATAAATTCATATAATTAATTACAAGTATATATAAACAATTTGTTGATTGATACAACACATGTATGTATGTATGTACATATGTATATACATATATACATATAAGCTGTATTACATATATATTGTTTTAAGCACATAAATATATCATTTGATATTTTAGAAATGCAATTGTGAAAAACAGATGTTTGTTGTACTGTATAATAAAATATTTTACTTTATCAAATTTCAAATGAAAAAAAAACAAAGTCTTTATCTTGGATAATATAATTAATTAAAGTTATCTATATTTAAAATATCTTTATACAAAAATTTTAAATTCATTAAGTAAAATATACAAAAAAAAAAAGATTTTTAAAAAAACAAAGTTTTAATTATTTTCTAAAATATCTTATATTAATATTTAATTACTTTGCTTATAATAAGAAATGTGAAAGATGTTTAAGAAAAAATAATCAAAGAGCTTTCCTATGCTAACTAGTATATAAGTTCATACATGCTTCAAAAATTTATGTAAGCTATGTTGTGTGAAATTCTATAAGAAATTTTGTAAAGACTGATTAGATATGCATCAGCATTCAAAAAAATTACAAAAAATAACAAAATTAATTAAAATTTTTCGTTATATCATATAATGAAAAGAAGTTGTAATAGAGATACATAGAAATTCTGTTGTTATGAACTGTTGTTTTGCGATTTCAAATAATCAATTAATTAATTAATCAAACTGGAATAATTTAAATAATTGTGCTCAGAATATTATCTTCCATTCCTTACTTGAAAAATAATTACATCAAAATGTAGTTTATGATGTTAATTAACATTGTATATTTGTGAAATTTATGAATATATTATGTAGACAACAATACATAATTTTTTTAATTAGTATTGCATGTACTATAAATAATATTTTTCTATATTATATAATCATTTTAAAATATTACAATCTTTTTATGTGTATATTGTTAAATACATTTATATCACTTGTTACATATAAAAATTAAAAAAAAATTTAAAAATAATATATTTTTAATGATATAATATTTTTAATAAATATTCTGATACATATTTATGTATCATTATTATTTTTATAAAAATTTATTTAATAATTATATTATAATAATACATAAAAATATCTTATTATATATCATAAATGTAATTCAAAATTACTTTTATCATCAAAAAGTATTTTATTTATCATTTACTGTATATATTTTAATTTTTTATAAACATTGAATAGTCTGTAATTAAAATAAGATAAGTTACTAATGAACTATATAAAATAATTAAAATAGAAAATATTTTGATATTTGGTATATAAGAATATATATAAAAATATAAATATGATTTGCCAAAAAATTTATTAAAATTCTATTAATAACAATTTTATTAAAAATTCTTTGTTCTTTAAAAAAAGAAGTTTATATACTAAATTTATAAAGCATAAAATCTTATCATAAAAATAATAGAATTATTAATCTTTAAAAATATAAATTATGAATATTTTTCATTTTTCCATTTAATCAAAAATTTCTAATCTAAACAACGTTGAAATATTTTCATAATTTTTAGTTATTGTAAAATAATTAGAAATAATATATACTTACTATTTTTTAAATTTTGGAGTATTTATTTTTATGTCATTGTTTCCATACGATTTCGATGACGTGCATAAGTACCCATACAGGCAAAAAATCCAATGATTCCAATAATTAATCCAAGAATCAATGCTACAGTATCTCCAAAATCAAAACTCGATGAAGCCATCGCAAAATCAAATGTTGTAAGAATAGCAAATAAAAAATAAAACCACATTTTTACGAAATTTGATTGAATGACACAACACGTAACCTTCACGATAATGGTTTTAATAAACACTGTATTTATGTAATAAAATTCATATATATGCTCTAATTATTTGAAATTTATTATAAAAGTGCTATTGTTATTTTTTAATATCTTGTATTATAAATATAACATAAATTTTAATAATGTTTTCATTTGATATAATATTATTTAGTATTATTTAATCATTTTCTCAATTTTAAAAATAGTGAAATGATTTTATTTTTAATTTTATATAAAATTGATATACTATAAAAAAAAATTAAATCATTTATAATAATATTATTCTATAATAATTATTCAAAATTATTATTCTTTGCTATTTTTATATTGAATTTTCTTTAATGTTATAAAGTAATTATTCAAAGGATAAATAATAATAATAATAATAAAAAAGAAATATATATATTAAGAAATAAAATAGTATATATATAAATTTAAAATAATATTAAATAAATCATAAAAAAATATATAAATATTTCTACAAAATGTTTACATTTAATAAATATTATGTTATGTCGTATTTTAGAACATAAAGGTATTTTCTTATACATTGAATATAATTTATAATATTATAATTATATTAAATATAATTTCCATATCGAAAATTATATATATTTGTTCTAATTTTTTGTTTTTCTGCTGATATATGTATAAAATATTTTAAATATCTTTGAAAAAATAAATTCTTTTAAAACATATTTTTTTACATAATAATTTTTTTTAGAAAAAAATTTTTTAAAAAAATAATTTACAATAAATATTATGGAATAAATATAACTTAAAAGAAAAAATATAAATTTTTAAAATTCTTAAAATTTAAATAAAATTTCTTAAATATTCATTCAGAGCAACTGACCAATCAAAAGAATTTCTGTTCGTAATGTTTAAACCAGTCTATTTACGAATGCAACTGACGCAACCTATTTTGACGAAGATAAAGATATATCTTTGGGATGTTTAAGGTGGCGTCACTTGCTTACTGAGGAAATATAGAGAGAAATATTACATTAACGCGTATCGACCGAGCAAAAACAATTTTTTCCCTCTTCGCTTAGACATTTCAACATTTTGACACAGGTAGAGTGAATAAAATTGTGTGTATATTTATTTATTTCTTAAATGAGATTTTTAACATTTTAATATATTAACATGTATCTTTTTAAAGAGATAATCGTTGCCGTTTTGTAGCCATTTTGCTATCCGTTGATAAATGCAAGACGCAAGACATTTTCGTACCGACTGGTGAACCGCGTATCTCTTGTCATATATAAAATACTAATCTTTATTCCAATACTTTGAATGATTTTCTTATATACAAATCCTCTTTTTTTTAAACATAATACTACTTCAAAGAATGTATACATCTAACAAGTATGTGCATAATACATGCATAATACAGAATATCTAAATGTCCGTGTAAATCAATTTAAAAACGAATAAATGTGAACAACCGAATTATATTTTTCTTAATATATTATTTTCCTTTATGTGATTAAAAAAATATATAATTATAAAAAATTTATAGATATACTTTTTATATATAAAAAGAAATAATGAATAATAAAATATTTTTTCTATTTATAAGATTATATATATTATTATATATATATTATTTATAAGATTTATATACTCTTTAAAAAGGTACATCTTAATTGTAAAAAATTGTATAAATTAAATTTATATAATTATTGTAATAAATTGTATACATATTAATACAATTTTTTCTTTAATTTTTTGTATAATTTTACTATATAAAATTAATAGAAATTAATATTAATATTCATTTTTTTTAATATAAAACGAATATATTTATATATAAGTAAAATTATAAAATTCTATTAAAAATAATAAATAATATTTTTTTTAAGATTTTTGTAATGTAATATATTTAATAAATATAAATAGTATATGTTTTTTTAAGCAATATACTTTTTGGCCAACATTTAAAAACACATATTATGGAATTGTCACATGAAATACTTGATACAATAGATATTAATGATGATAAAGACGTGATGGAAGTATTAAAACATGCTATCAATGGTGAAAATGTTATAGTAGAATCAGAAACTACAGAAGACTCTGTAGGAACAGAAATAGAAGAAATTATAGAAATAATAGAAGAAATAGAAGAAGATAAAGAAGAAATACCACAAGATGAAATTACTTTTATTGAAAACAAAAATGCTAATATTAAAACAGAAATGGAAAGTTATGCTTTTGATGAAAACAATTCAGTCTTCAAGACACAATCTGAAAAAGTATATGAAAAGAAAAATCAGTATGATAAACATAATAATAAACAACTTATAGCATATGATGTACATGAGGATTGGCAAGATGAAGATATGGAAGAAGAAGAATGTCAATTTGAATTAAACTTTGAACATAATTCAAATACATTAAATCATTGTACAGAATCTTTGCAAGGACAAAGAATATTGAGTTGTGATAAAAAATATGTAAATAATCAAACAATTTCTTTACCATTACAAACAAATAAATCAGAATTTAGGGACAATACAGAATCTTTGGATAGAATAGAAAAATGTAAATTAAATCAGGAGTTTGAAAATAATATGAATGATGAAAATATTGATAATAATGTAAGTCATGAAATTGTGAAAAATGTTGAAAATAATTTATTATACACTGTACTTGGTACAAAAAAGCAAAGTTCAATGAAAACATTGCAACCAGATAAACTTTCAGATGCTCATTATATTAAGGTTTGTATTACTTAATTATAGTCATTATAATAAATACTATTTGTGAAAATAATAATTTTATTTTTAGATGGAACAATTAGATGAAAATACTATACCAATTGGAGGAACAATTTATTATGAAGCTGATAATATAGAAACATTATATGTTGCACAGACAGTAGATGATAATGAACAATATTCTTATGATACTGCAGTAATAGAAAATGAGGAACAAGTATGGGAAACAAATAATTCAGATTCTAATCAAAATCAAGAAAAAGAAAATTCTCAGGTATTAATATAAAATTAAATGTTTGATTAAACTTTATATCTTGTTTTATTTTTCTTAATTTCAAATAATCAAATAAATTTTTTCTTCAATTTTAGAATCAAATATTTTTACATGAAGATGAAGATGGTCAATTATACTATAAAGATGAAACTGGAACTTTACAACCAGTATATTTAACTGAAGATGGACATTATGCTATTGCAGAAAATAGTAATGATTCTGAAAGTAAAGAATCACAAATTAAATCTCAACAGAATGCTAGAAAAATGGAAGAAGAATCTTACTCTATGCCAGATAATGAATTCAAATCTACTCATAACAATAAACAGGTATTTTTAATAATTTCTAAAATATATTGAAAGCATTTTTTTATTTTTGTTTTATTTTTTAGAATTCTATAATGTCTGCTGCTGATCTTGATAATGAAGACAATACTGTAACTATATCTTTAATAATATCTGAAGATGAACATGGACAAAAAAGAACACAAGTGATTATACCAACAACAGATAATTTAAAATGTGATATCTGTAATAAAAATTTTAAAACATCACTTCAATTACTTCGACATAATAGATTGAAACATGCTCGTGAAGAAGATATTACAACAAGGAATTTTCCATGTGATTTGTGTCCTAAAAGGTTAATTTTTTACAAGTAACAATTAAATTTGTAATTTTTTTAAAATGTAATTTTAAAGATAATTAATTCTTTTATTTATATTTTAGATATCCAGATCAAAATTCTTTAGCTCGTCATAGAAAGACTCATACTGGTGATCGACCATTTCAGTGCCTCGAATGTCATAAAAACTTTCCAACATCTACCGCTCTACGTCGTCATTTAACGCTTCATAATTCACAATCTCGACCTCTTCCATGCATTTACTGCGGTCGTCGTTTCGTAGATAAAGCTAGTTTGGTTAAACACGAGCAGTCACATTTGGCTGGTGATCAGCGGACCCACACATGCGATGTATGTCATAAGTCATTCTTACATGCAACTGATCTGAGTCTACATAAAAAATATCATGATCCTGATAAAAAATTTGACTGTAATGTTTGTGGTCGAGAGTTCAACAGATTGAACAATTTGCAGAGACATATGATGGTACATCAACAAGTACGTATGATAAATACGATCTTAATGTTTAAATCATTCGAGTTTCATAAGAAAAGAAAATATTGTCATATATCTTTTGCCATTTCTTTCATATTTTCTGCAATTTGTACGTACTATATAAATATAAATTGTATAAATTATATAAATTAAGGAATTTATATAATAGTTTATCTTAAAAATAAAAAAACAATTTTCAAATTTTTTTAATAATTAAATTAAATTTTTTTTATGTATAAATTTTAGCAAGGAGCAAACGAAGAAATACTATCTTGCGATGTATGTGGTATCACGTATAAATTCATGAGTTCATTGACAAGGCATATGGTGACGACGCATATGAATCCAGAAAAATTAAGACAACAAGCAGAAGAACAACGAAGAAAGCGCGAAAATAATTACCGTCGTTATTTAGAAAATCGAAAAATTTATGAAACTCAACATTCAGGAGCATATGGAACCAAACGAAATTATCATAATACACGTATACTTAGTGGAAGTAATGATGAAGCAGCTTGATTTACATTCTTAAGTTACTATTTAATAACTTCCTAAAAAAGAATGATGATAAAACTATAGTTTTTCAAAATGAAAAGAAAAACAAAAATATGATAAATATTTGCGTATAATATAGAAATATTCCATTATCATTTTTTTTTTTGCTATATATAATTACACAAATAAATATTAATTTAATAGATGTATAAGTCGTGTAGTATTTGAAATATTCATGTATCTTTACAAAATTCAGATATGCTTTATAGAAAAATATAGCATATGTATGTGTGTTTAAAATAGAATATGTACATATAAATATATTTCATTTTTATTGTACACTAGGTATTACATTGTAGATACTATTGTTATTAGTAATATTTCAATATATATACATTTTACTGTAATTTTTATGTAATTATAGTTATATAATATAGGTAAGTACAAAATATTGTACAAGAAAAGTAAAAATTTATAAATCAAATTTTCGTACAAATATCTTCATAAGAATTATAATTATTAATATAGAAAAATAAGTC